TTTTTGACATTTATATTTTTTCTTTTTTTTTTAAATGTTACATAAAATATAGTTTTAAATTACACTATATTACAATTGTGTCATTTTAAAAATATTGTTTTTTAATTACACACTTTTGACATTTTTACACACCATTTATTTTTTGCTCTGCACATTTTTACATTAAAAATTCCAAATATTTTATTACCTGCTAAGTTTTTTTGTACATTTCAGAGCTTCTGTGAGCAGATTTTGTGTCTAAATGTTCAGTCGGGATGTTTTAACTGTCTTAACTTCAACTGCCGTGACAAAGAGAAATGTAAAGCAAATAAAGTATCTATCTATCTATCTGTCTGTCTGTCTGTCTGTCTATCTATCTATCTATCACTGTCTCTATATCTGTCACCATAACTCAGAACTTGACATGAACATGGAATAACTCAGGTGTGGTCTGTAACCTTCCGTGGAGGAGCTGAGGATGTTTCCCCAGCGAGCGTAGTGGATGGAGCCTCCACCTGCCCAGGGGAAGCAGATCAGCCTGGAAACTGCATCTGGCCTCTTCTGGAAACAGCTGATCACCTTTTCCATCCTGATTCAACACAACAAGAAGACGACGGCAAGTTCACGTCAGCTTCATGCCCCTGCACAGATAACACATATGTAATAACAAATCCAGCTGCTTGGTTCACTGACTTCTCCTGCAGCTCCTCCTCATGCTGAAGGGAGACGCTTCCTGGTTCTCTTCTTCTGTGGTTCCTGTCACATGCTTGATTCTGGAGACATCTACAGCGTGGAGGCAGCAAGTCCACGCAAACCCACCAGGACCTTCAGTCTGGGTCACTTATTAACCTCTAAACACAAGATAGAAGTGTCTGATTCAAAGCATAATTTAAAAGGTTTATTCAAGGATTGTTTAATTGTCTCCCTTCTTTCTTCTGTTTTTTTTTTTTTTTTTTCAGCCCTCGACAAAATATCTTCATTTCACTTAAATGCTGGCTTGAAAAGGCTTCATTCATCAACACTGATACTTCTTAATTATGGTAATAACTAGAACGACTAATAAATGGTTTAAAAAAAGATTTTATTGCATAAATTTAACCTTTGATGATCAACAGGATCTCAGAAGTGCTCAGGACGGTTGTTCAAATTTAACCTTTTGAGGCCATTTTGCAAACACGAATAAACACACGAGTTCTAATCCTAAAATTGGATCAAGGATCATTAGAATATTCAGTCCTGGATTTAATCTGTGTAATGATTTGACGTCATACAGGCTGTAAGTTCATTGTGTATTACTCTTTGTAAAATAAACTCTTTGTGTGTGTCTGCTGTGTTACTGTGTTTAGATCAGTCAGAGTCACAATGTCAGATATCACAACAACAACAACAGTGAAAAAATCATTCAAAAGTCAAACAAGCATCACATCTGGCACATACATTACGTAACACTTACATATCGCTGTTATTTTATGAACAATTCCTGTCAAGAATTCCCTCATAGTAAGTGTCTATACCAAATTTGAAACCACAGATCTATTTAAAATGCCTAAATAGCCTCTTTTATATTCATAAATGTAATAGAGAAATACACACAAACATGGCCTGTACAGTTTCCCAGCTTCACGATTCCCTAAAACGAACGTTTTCTTTGATTTGACCCACACTGGTAGCTCTAAAATCCATCTCAATGGATATGCGGGTCAACTTTGAAAAATTTGTAGCACCTGTACCAAAGTATAAACTTTTAACATATTTGAATTTTTGTGTATTTTGGGTCACTTTAGGAATGGTCTTTAATTTTTAGGCTATTAGAATGATGTTTAGGGTATTTTTTAAAATACTGTCAGATGTCAAAACGACCTGAAACAGCATGTGAGGGTTCAACACCACCTATTTTAGAAAAATCTTTCAACATTTGTGACCTATTGTGGGATTTTTTTTGTGCATTTTTATGATATTAACATTGTTTCATACATTTATGACAACATACGAAATCTGTGAACCTTCTAAATACAAGAAAATCTCGTTAGGTCATAATAAAAAAAAAGAAAATGACAGAATTAATGAATATATTTTTTGGAAACCGGAAACCTCCATGACTACATATCAGTAGTTTGACTCGTGCTTTTGTTTTGAAGGAGCAATGCGGAAGTGGCTAGCCGTAGCCGCAGCTAGCTTGCCGTTGTGGCGGAGAGAGGGCGGTAGGAGCAGACTTCAGACCGGTTTCTCACCGATACTGAGGACGCCGGCCCGGAGAACTGCCGGTATCTGTGTGTGCTAAAGAAGAACCCCGGATTGTCACGTTAGCCCAGCGGGACGACGAACCGAGCCGCTGACACCGTCAATATTCCTGTCAGTGTCGCGTTGCCGGTCGGCTGCTGGCTGTCGGCGGCTAAAGCTAACCGGAGCCGTTAGCTTCTCCTCCGCCGCCGCCGCCGCCGCGAAAACTCCTCCAACTTCGAGCCCAAACTGCCGCAAACACCGTCAACACGCCGAAGAACCGCGTTTTTTGTCCGGTTCCAGCAGGAAGAGCGAACGAGGACGGACGCGGGGATATTCGGTTGAACTTCTGAGCTGTCAGTTTCGGTGAGGCAGCTCTCGGAGGGGAGGAGGGAGGGAGACGGAGGACTTCCAGCCCGGAGGGGGGAACCCCAAGCGGCCGGGTCCACATCACCGAGCCCCGCCGGGGGGAGAGGAGAGCGGCGGTGACAGCATCGACCAATACGGTGCCGGTTCATCCGGACAGAGACCTCATGAATGGAAATCGGAACAACAGGTGGGCTATCCCGGGCTAGCCGAGCCGAGCCGTGCCGTGCTAGCGCGGTGCTGGTTCAGGTGCTGCCGAGTTATTTTGAGACTCCGAGTTTGACCCCAGTGATCGAGCACTAGGCCGGTTTCTGGTGTTCAACAGGCGCCTTATAAACGCGGTCCAGAGCTCCAGGCAGCGCAGGGCTGCTGTGTGAAAACCAAACCGACTTTATGACTCCGCGTTATGACACCTGTGGCCCAGTTTACAGCCAGTCCAGTGGCTTTACTGGTTAACAGGACTAAACCATGTCATA